CCAACATTTCCGTTAGCTGTGCAGTTTAGTAGTGCGTGGAGGCGCAGCCTCGTTTTGACTTTTAACAGTGGGGCTGACATTAACTTTTTCATGAACATTTAGTTGAAATACAACTACTAACAAGCCACCGATAATATTTGAAGGTATATAGTTGCAAAGCGATTTCAATTCAACGTAATCATATTTCGAATAGTTCTTCTTAAACACCGAATAGTTCACTTTTATAAGCTAAGAGGTCAGAATATGCAGCACTGTTCACATGAAAATGACCAGATATCCTCAGATGCCAGCGGCAACTTGAAATTGCATAAATTAAAGGTGTCCAAAAACTACGGCGTTTGGTCCTTTCGACCCATGTATTTGATTTCAGCTGCTTTGCGCACACCTACGCCCTCATGTTGAACATGCAATCGAAGCGTGGTACCCATGACAGGAGCAAGATCCCACTGCTTTGGAGGTTCCACACCGTAGGGTCACTAAAGTTGTCAAAATGCTATCTCACTTGCCATACGAACAACGACGAAACTTACTAAGATTTTTCCATGAGTTATCTCGGCGATTATGTGGTGCTATTATGATAATTTATCAAATTTTAAGCACCCCTAATCAATCGCGCTATCATATGTTAAAGTTCAGTCATAACAACAGACTGAGGCCACCGCCTCAAACTGGCAGAGTAACACAACCGGCTGCAGATTAGATCGTGTTTCTTCTCGTTACACGTTTACCACGCACGGAATTCCTTTCCAGAAGTTACTCTTTCAGTCCCTACATTACTTACGTTCAAAGATAATGGTGACAGTGCCCTGGTCGCATTACATCAGATCATTTAACACGCATAACCGATACGCATATTAGACAGCCAAACCTCATCAACCCAGACCAGTTTTGCTGGAGAGGTCAAAAGCGGTGGTCTTGTAACGTATATATGACCATGTACAATGGACAATGGAAAATGGACAATGGACAATGGTTTATTACGGGTAAAAAAGCATCGCTTAACAAGTCCCGTGAGATGGAAATTATTGCAAAAATCAATTACATAATAAAGTGAAAAGCGTTGTGGTAGACTCACCATGGACTTTTGTGAAATAGCGGAGATGTTGGCATATTAAACGTATAAATCCATAAATCCATTGGTTAGGCGTTTGGCAAGAAACCGTTTGATTGCTTTTTGTAGCCTCTGGCTAACAAGTCATAAAATGAAATGTAAGTGAGACAATGCATCATCAACGCGTTTTTTAAATATCGTCCAATTGGGAATAAAGACGACATAATTAGGGAGGGCGGTCCAAAGCTGGCACACGCGGAGAGAAAAGAAATTTCTACGGCATTTAAGCCCGCTATAGTGAATTGTCAGTTTCAGAGGGCGACCTCTTAGTTTACTGTTGTGGTTCAATTCCAGCAGTGGACGTCAAATGTGGTTTGGGTTCTTCAGAATCTGGTAAACCATTACGAGATCCCCCCCCCGCAACAGCCGATCTCGACTGTTGTACATTCTTAAAGATTTCATTCTAAGCTGATAGGGCAGATAAAAGACCCCCTGACGTTCTTGGTTACCTTTCGTTGAGGAGTCTCGAGAGCAACAAGATACTGTTTCTGCCATGGCTGCCACGCCGGAATAGCATATTCCACGTGAGGTCGCACGTAAGCGTTAAGCATTTGGGGAAATATTGACGGTTCTAACCGACCGAAGGCTCTGCGAAGAAGGCCGAAGTGTTGATTTCCGGATCTCCTCGCCTTCTCTGCTTGTTTTGAACACCCGAGAGTTTCCTGTACCAATACACCTAGGTCGCGCTCCTGAGAAACCTTCGCCAAGGTGTGGTCTCCAATCTTGTAAGCGCTCACCGGCTGGTGACGCAGATGCATCACTTTGCACTTAGCCATGTTCAGTTGAAGCTTGTTCCTCTTTGACCATTCGTAAATGCAATCTAAGTCATGTTGGAGCAGATCCTGATCTGGCTTGTTACTAATCGCCCGCCATATCCTGACGTCATCGGCGAAAAGCAGGAAGTTTGAGGAGATGACTCTTGCCAGGTCGTTGATAAACACCAGGAATAAACGCGGTCCCAGCACTGAGCCTTGCGGGACCCCACATTCCACCTCAATTGGGTTAGAAAGTGATCCCCTAACACGTACTTGAAGCTTTCTTTGGTAAAGGAAGTTGCCAATCCCACCAAGTACAGGATCTCCGACTCCGTAACTTTGTAGTCTTTGAAGTAGGATGCGGTGATCAAGGCGGTCGAAAGCTTTGGAGAAGTCCAGATAGATGACGTCGACTCCGACCCAATCATCGGCCACTTCCGTCCAACTACCTCGTGCAATCAGTAGGTTGGTGTTGCATGACCGGTGTTGACGGAAGCCATGCTGTTCCGGTAGCAAAATGTTGCATTTTTCTAGGTAGTCCATTAAAGCCTCAGCGACGACTGCTTCCATCACCTTCGCGAGCACAGGGAGGAGAATCACTGGAAGATAGTTAGCAGGATCGGAACGGCTACCGCCTTTAAAAATAGGGGTTATAATGCCACACTTCCACATAGTAGGGACTTGTTGTTCATCAAAGCACCTTTGAAAGAACTGTGACAGTGGTTCAGCTAGCTTGTTGGCCGTAGCCTTCAGTGCTTTCGGGCGGATGTTGTCTGCTCCCGGAGAACTATGTTCACGCAGTGAGAGTAACTTCCTTAGCACAATTGATGGGTTGAAAATAACATTTGTAAACAAAGGTGTCGGTAATGAGCTTGATATTATGGGACAGGTAGATGTTGCGAGTTCAAAAATTGGGGCGTATTGCAGCCGCAGGGCATTAGCTGCTTCTTCGGCGCTTTGTACTCTACCGCCTGTCGTGAATAGTGGGGGTATTCCATGCTTCACTTTACGAAGCTTATTGACATGCCTATATAGTAGTTTGTTGTTTGCCATGAACTTTTTGGCTAGGCACTGTTGATAAGTTGCTTTTTCCTCACGGACAAGTACAGTGCAATGGTTGCGATAGGCCAGGAAATTTCCCCAAGTCTCTGAGTCGGGGTTACTCTTGTAGGCACGCCATGCTGCATCCCCTTTCGGCAGTCATTTGCGAGTCCTACTCCTTATAATTGAAGGTATTTTCACGGGATGGCGGGGTTTGGTCTCTGATGCTTTGTTGACGATGTCGCTGAGTTTATTAACCAACTCTGCCCCAAACGTTGTCAAGGGGACTTTTGTTTGAGAATTCCCAAGCAGCTGCGTGTGAAGTATTCAGACTCACAAATTTTGATTGGCAAGATCACGTCAACAGTTGTTTACTTTATTTTCGCTTTTCATTTTCTTTGTGGAACCTATGACCGACCGTCCGGCGAGACATGTTGATCGAGGGCATTTTCATCCGCAATGTACCATCAACCATTGACACCTGGACGATAGCAGCCCGCTTGCTTCCAAATGCCCAATTGCTTCAAGGCCTAATCGATTCAAACTACTTGTAGTATTTTTCCTGGATATCTTCCAAGCACCGTCACACATCGCTGAGCAATGATTAGGAAGGCGTGATGAGTGCTGAACTTTTGGACATTGGAGCGTTCACATGCACACGGACCGCTCATCAGCAGACACGCCTAAAGTGGGTTCCTAATGTGACCCATTGCCAAGTCAGGTCCGAGTTTTGATCACCGTTTGTAATGACGGAGATGAAGATAATGGTACGGCTGGAACAGATAGTCCATGGGTGTGGTTACAGCTGGGAGTATAGATCAACAGAACCACGCGTGATCTGTAGCGAGAAGGCCACTTAAGCGTCTCCCACCCTAGCTGGCTGCAATGGTACGGGCCGGATGGACATGGTAGTTGTTACGGGCTACCACAGACGCCGCGTAGTGTGTCTGCATACAAATTAGAACGGATTGGTCCGGACAATAATGGGCGAACGTCAGTTAACCTAAGCTGGTGATACAGGGTGCGCCGGCGTCTGGTTAACTAAGCGAACTGAACCGAAGTGGAACCAGTGGGCAGGAAGCCAATCAGGCTTTGCCACCAAGTGCTAACCGGAGTTGTATAACTTGAAGGACAACCCAGTAGTGGTGCGACCCGAAGATCAACTTGACCCCAAACGATAGACAAACTAGGTTAGATCTGGCACAGCAGGTGAACAGCGTGTGCAAACCGATGAACAAAGGTTACACACAGTGTGCAGAAATATTTGCAGCGTGCGATTTTGTAGAGAAGGATTTATCAAAACTATTGCATGCGTTCGAATAAACTTCGGTTTATTCGGCTTGAGTAGTGCTGCACACTAGTCATCAGTTCACCAAAGTCATTATGCATCACAGACACCGTGCCAGTTAGAAGAGGTTGGTATGCCCTGCTGGGAAGGCTTTTCGCACGGGAAATGTTCTATCTCTCAATATTTCGCATGTATAGGCTGATGTGCCTACGACCAGCCTTGAACGCACTATTTGGACGCGTTAGGGGCCAGTAGTGCAGTAGCTCGGAAGCCGGTGATTAAGAAACGGTCTACATGTGTATACATATAAAATGCCCATGCGAAGGTAGGATTGATAGTTGTGTTCGGAGCAGAAACAGTTAAATGGATACTTTAGTACTTAACCGAGCAATTCACAGTACTGGGGATTTACGGGCATGCTTCTGTCGCGATGATGTGCTCTGGATAGCCAAAAATGTTTGTCATGTGAAGATAGCGGAGTCCCGGTTGTTTGACTTACTGTTCTAATGGTTCGCATGCGGAATCATTTGGGTTCCTTCTTTTACGGCTTGCACTGCCCTCTTTAGTAGATCGCAAATCTTGAGGTCAATTTCTGATGTCATATTTCTATGTTGCAATGCTCGGAGCAATTACGGCCACTCATCGTCAACGAATCTTATGAACTATCCACATTACTCCTCCTAAGGTAAGTAGTGTGTATTATCTCCGCATCCGACTATTCCTCTTGCTAAACCACACCTGTAGTCTTGACGCCACTCGAGCTCCCCTACCAACGAATTAATTAGAAGGAAACGAGGATAAGACACCAGAACGTAGTCAGTATGTGCATCGACAGTACAACGGACTGGGGCAGCCACTGTGCAGTTGGTGTAGTAAGCGAACGGGGGAGATAATTTATGCATTAGCCACATTGGGGGCAAGATCATACAACTTGTGCCCGAACGGAAAGTGCATTTCCCCTGGCAGGTAGTCCTCGAAAACCGGAAGCTTATCCAGAGCGCATATGCCCTGTGAAAGACAAAAGGGAATCGCGGAAGTTTGTTGAAACACATGGTAATGAGAGTTGCAATTACAAGTGGCATAAACGCAGAGAGACAAAAACTAGTCTGCCAAAGACACAGGTAAACAAGTTCGGGTATCCCAGTGGCCGTCACACTGGGGTCTGGTATCGATTTTACTTGCATAGTTCCATGAACCGGCATCGCCTAAGAAGGACATGGAAATGGTTCGATTTCATCTCAGATAGTCCGTCTGTGGGTCACTGATGGAGCCATGGTGGACACAGTCGTCAGAGCCAATTTGGCATTGTTTTGTGGGGAGGTACGATTACGGACATATTTGGCATTAGCATGAAGAGTGACTAAGTGCCTATGAATCTAAAAATGCGCGCACCGCTGTCCTAATGTGGGCACACTGGCGTTCACATCGCTTTTTCAGTGCATAGCCTGTGGTTTAATTTGTTGGTTTAAGCAACCTAGCATGTGAGGAACTTTTACCTACACCTAACATGTGTCCTGACTGCGACCCAATCGTCTCCCAACTTCGGATAGGATCATCGTGAGCTCGAGGATGAAAACTTACTACAACGTAATCGTGGTCCAACTAAGGCTTATGCGTCATATTACGATCGCGAGTTGATTGCTTCGCAAACAAAAGTAATCCATAGCGAAACAACTGCTAGTAGCGCAGTCCAGCATTATTGCGGTTAAGAATTTAATCAGTGACTCCAGGTTTTCCTGGTTAATGGTACCCGGAATTCTACCAGAGGAACCCATATCAGTACGAATATGGCCTCTAAGCGACATCAGGATTACGAGCAGTGCCGAACAAGTACAAATAGGTTGCGATAGCACAACTGAATCATTTGACTGGTTGGTAAGTTGTTTGTTGGTTTCAGTGGCCCTTCCGGAGTTCACAGCAATGGGGATCGTTTGTAAGTACCGACCTGCTACCTTCTGGTTACACGGACTGATGAAATGGATCCCTGATTCCAGGTATGACAAAATGCATGGTAGAGGAGGCAATGCAGTCATTCCAATGGCGTCCAGGAGTTACAAGTTCCTTGCTTGTCGATTTAGACCACGCGGGTCGGGGTGTTGCCTAAACTTGCCCAACACACGCTAGTAGAAAACTCGGTACGGAACATGACTGCGGTTCAGAGGTTGGTGCAACCTACCAGTTCCCCTCCGACACACCCGTTGGATACCAAATAGCGCCTATCTCCATGTAATTAGAACCGAAAGACTTCGTCACTGAGCAAAATCCACCTGATAAAAATTTGTGTCCGTAGTAAAACTGTGAGCTCCCCATCAAAATCTAGTGTGCAAATTGGACATAACCAGCTGTCTGTGGTTGCAAGCCATTTTGGCGGTGGTGCCGTTGCAATATTTCCTACCATTGTTTGGTAACAGCCTAGCTCATACATGTTTATGTTCCTTCTGCTTGCTACCACGCTGGATTGGTAGGTATGCATAGGTTTGGATGAAAGCGCTTATGTTCGCTTGTATTCCGTTTACGTCATCTGTCCAATAGTGAGAAAATAGTAAATACGAGGGACGCATTATACTGTTTTACATCACTTTACTCACATGCGTCCTGATGATAAGTTCGCGGCATACATCTCCTCTGATGCGATCTCCGGATGACCTGGTAAAATAAGATAAGGTCAAAATCATCATCATTACCCTTCTACCTACTGGTTAAAAGTTAGGAATACTTTGGCTACCTGGCCACAATGCAAATCATATAAAGTGACTGTAAGAATGACAAGGCAAAACACAATTTTATACGTGTTGTTATTATGCATCGCGGATAAGGTCATACTGAAGGGGAGGATAAGAGGGATGGGATGATAAAGAGCCACACAACACAAACACCGCAGTCTTGTTGTTATCCAAGGCAACAAATGTCTTCAACTAAACGTGGCCATAGTCTTTCGGACCACAACTAGCGACTCGGGAGGCGTCAACCGAGGATAAGTTCAAGGCGAGGGTCTTCATTCCTCTCGACCAGGTCATCGGTTGATTTCCTGTCCTCTCCCATCCAAACCCAGATCGCGCTGACAACGCACGGAGCGGGAGTCGGTGTGTTGACATGCGTAACACACGGTTCAGCCATCGGAGCCTGGTGCCTAAAATAGTGGTGCTGAGTGGCTCACTTTATCTTTCTGCATCATATAGAAAACGGGGGTTACTTTCACTACTCACGCGGCGTTCCCGCCAGACATCAGCCAAGCGACGAAGGCACCGGTGGTGGAATGTGACAGTAGGGTTACACTGACGGCTGCATTGTGGACTCCCACCTTCACGGCGAGAGTGGTGTGAGTGCGTGAGATGTGAGTGCCGGTGCCACAGGTGGTGAAGACTGGCAAAAGTGCATCGAGCTTTATCAACGATGTTTGTCACTTCTTCCTCTATTCCACAGGTGCCGATGCAGCTGTCAGGTAGTTGAATTTCTGAGTACCTTTTAGAAAATCCAAACATGGATCAGCGTAGGGGTGATCCATGCCAAACTTGGAAGAAAACCTTGTCTCTGGAGGGTGCAAAGCACGGTCCGAACATACTTACAGCCATCTTGGAACCGATCGGGAAATCATCATTGCAGAAAACTTAGTAGACGACCGGTTAATGTATTTATAGTGATAGACAACGTTTCGCTTTTGACACAAAAGCTTCATCAGGTTTACAAACTGTCACCACTAGGACGATTTCATTGGCGCGCTTGAAGTCGACAAGTCGGTCAAGTACAAGCAGCTCCACATCCCCTAATCTGAGTCGGGTAAACGCAGTTTCCTTAACCGAATCAACAGCGAAGTCAGAAAGGAAAGGGGAAAGCTAGAGTCTTCGTCCCATGCTAGTGGCGAAATTGACGGGTCATACCAACTTGACATAATCCCTCAGTATGTCCGGACTACTGGTGTAAGACACTCTTACGTTTTCTGCGGTAATCTTGGACACGCCTTTCCTAATCAAACAGTCTTAAATGGCACATCGACCTACCGAATAGACGACACCATTGCTGTCAAAAAAGCAAGATTAGAACGTGTCGTCATTAAACGAGGTGGAGATTCAACGCCTGCCGCGAAAGACTACTTGCTGAATGGTCTTCCGAACAATTCCCATATGGCCATTCGAACTCTAAACCAAGCTCGGTAAGGTGCTTAGATACATCCTCAGACCGCGCTAAGCAATACCTTCGCGAAGGTTTTTCGCTGAATGTATTTAACATACTCTTGAATGGAGAAGTTGTGGCTATGTTCTCGGGGTTCTTCGCCACAGCTTCCCGGTAAGACGAAACTGCCGTCTAGTGATTTTCCGGGTATATAGAGGACTATCTGATTTGGAAGATGCTGCGAGGACTTACCAACTATTTACATGATTTTAGTCTCCAACCGTAAGTTAGTAACAATCCGGAGTGAAAATGACGAGCAAACCACACCTGTACATACTAAGCAATTCACTACCTAACGTGATGATCACAGCTATGCCACATCTCAACTGCCGCTGAAATTTGTTGAACAGCTACCCAAAGATAGTACACGTGCTTGAGTGTGATCCATCACTACAGAAAGGACCCACAATTTATACCCTACCTCAAGCTATGTACCTCGCCTTTGGCACGGTTTGCCACTGGTTCCTCGTTTCGGCTGTCTCTCCTCGGAGAGCCAATTCCAAATGGTGGGATACCATTTCTTCATGGTTACAATGCGGACCTGTCGCATCTCTCAGTTCTCCATTGGTGGTCCAGCGTTGTCGTTGCCAATTTGCGTCAATGGTTTGTAGATAGTTCAGTGGCGCGAACATATGGTTATTCCTTTACGCCGTTGATCAACACTGGCAGTATCTGATTATCGATATTCTCATCAAACTTCCGCCTGACAGAGATTTCGAAACTTTAAGTTGTCAACAATAAACTTGTGCCGGATTTATCCGGATTACTTGATGCAGAGCTATACACGTGCTTACTGCGCCACTGGTCCACCTCGTTGGCTTTCAGAAGCCAGATAATTCTATTGTGAGAGCGTCGTTAGTCAAAGAATGTAACCATTTAAATCTGTAAGTTAGCTGATCATACGCGTGCTGCACATAAGCAAAAACAAAACAACAGTTCGTACCGCTACACGCACTGTTGAGCGAAGTGATGGTATCGAATAGCAAACATCATGAGTAGGCAAAAAAAAACATAACTTGGGGCTGAGATACACTTGTTCCGTTGTTATGGGTAGCGTACTGAGGGCAACAGCCCTGGGATACTGTGGTACAATAAGCTTCCGCGTTTACAACTCAACTTCTAAACTTACCTAGTCTAGATATTCGTAAAACAACACTAATTATTTCTTTGGATTTATGTTGAGCAACACTTCCGCTCCACACTCACGGACAGGGACAATGGGTTGCAGACTAGAAAGAATAGTTGGGCAAGCTCATCACACCATTGTGGGCTACCAAGGCAGTCGAGCTGACTACTTACTGGGATAACTTTACCTGCAAGCCTTTATAACTAGGTCTCAGATATAGGGTGTATCTAATGATGCTATTTGGGCCATATATGGACTTTACTGTGCGGGCCGGACTTGTAGCATCCTGTGACTTCATGCGTGTCCGAAATACGAACTCTTCGTACTGAGCAGCACAGCCTGGACATAGCTGACCTGACTCGGTCTTTTGCAATTCGGCTGCATAAGCGATGGGGAGATTTTGGACTAATAGAGGATATCTTAAGCTGAAAATCCTCCGCTGTGTGTTTAATATATTTTACCTGAGTGGGAATGGGTGTTTGTAGTGTATTGCACCAAGGCTGTTCCTAAGTTAATCGACTAAAAGTTGTGCAAAGTCGGGTCAGTGCGCGTTAGGTTACACTCTCATGCAGCAAACGCATCAACACAATCTCCTGCACCTCAAAGCTTCATTTTTCTCCCCAAGCTGCCAGGAATGATATTAATACATGACCGCGCAGTGCCGTATGGTAGAAATTCCCTATCTTTAAAGTTTGTCATGATTAGCCTTTCCAAACCTCATCACACGTTTGTACACCAATTCGAATCATTTTGATGAATGCAAATCTGTGCATTCATTCTACTAAACCTGTCCTATGTGATTCACCTCCTAATACGTATTCGGTGTTTTGGTCAAATTTCCTGTATCCAAGGTTACGTTTTACTACCCCAGAACCATCACAATATTCTGATACTAGGCTAGATCTGAATTATCCAAAGAACCATGGCCCTATCTCGTTCGTCGTTGAGTTGAGAATTTACTGGATAAGTTATGTATTTATCCACAGTCTTTTTTCTATCACCTGCAACCAACACTGTGTTATCAGCCAGCTTACATTCTATGCTGACCGTTAGAAAACATTTCATCCTCCTGTCCCATTTAGGGCTCCTTGGCTGCTTGTGGATGTGTCACAATGCTGACTGGCGCTGAAAAAGTCGTCTACTTACACACGTTGCGTAAACGAATTGCATACTATTCGCAACATGCTAACATGATGGACAGTAGTGGCTACCTCAACGAACTTGTACCTGACCTGATGAAAAACAAGAAGCGTGTGAGATTGTGAAACAAGTTTCAACAAGGCCAAAAGCGAACAGCTGTGTGTCAACTGCTTAAAAGATCTTTGCCCCAAACGTACCAACCTATCACTAATTATGAGGAAGACGAAGCGCAATAGAAAAACCCGCGTCTCCAGATCCGAATAATATTTATGCTACGTGTCGAATAGGATCAATCCTATATCTAAACCATGTCAGAAGCACGAATTTTTGTGGCGAGGATGGAGGAAATGGTCACAATGGGAGAAAGCAAAGCGAAATTTAAAGCCCATGTTTCTCCAATAAGTGCCTCTGCAGACATGATGAGGAAGCTGAAATTTCTGCTAGTGTACTAACACTTCATATTACTAGACTAAGCGCTGCATCCATATCACCAGCTGTCCAACTGCGTATAAAACGTCCATATCCAGCCCAGTCTGAATACTTAGCCTTCGGCAGTTCTTCGGAGGATTTTGAGGCGTAGGAAAAATGTTAACACGTGTGACGCCTGGATCGTATTGCCCTCGAAAATAGCCAGTAAATGATATCCACGATTTCTTCTACCGGATTCGAAATCAGTGAATGATGGGAAATTTAGGTTGTGCAAGTAACACCGATTGTGTGCGGTGGACCAACGATGCAGTCCAGGAAACCTTATAGTATTTCGAGGGATTTCAAGAAACCATGTGGTATACTATCTATGTTGTGTACCATTGCTTTTGATTAGGTGGCAACTTCAGTAAAACCTTAATTAATAAGATCATTCGAGCTGATAAACTCTACACGTAAATTCTTCGGTGTTCTTCTTAGGCACACCAATCTGATGTACGTCACTCGTCACTCAAATACTGAATGTCGCTTGCTGAATTATGAGAAAATGCAAGTCTTTCAAGCTGTAAAGTCCGTGGGAATATTATCTATACTTTTAAAAGTATCCGGCACGAGTTCATGGTCTAATCGTTCTACAAGTGCTCTGCCGTATATAGTAGTGCATGCAAAGTCAAATTCCTCCTAAGTGAAACCATGTCCGTCACGAAACTCGGGCTCCGCTTCACACGCTTGACGCGCGTACGCCAAGGTCATTTGAAATAATCCTCCCTATATTCACCCTATC